TAATAAGAGCAGATACTAACAATAAAAATACAGCAGTAAATGCTGGAAGTATTTCGGGAAAACATATTTCCATTGGTTCAAAAAAGTTTTCTTATACTTGATAACCCCCAAAAAGTATATAGTTCTAAAGTAAAATGAAGGTACTCAGAAGCGTTTGCTACTCTTTCTTAAACAGAAGTAGTCAGCTAATGGAATACTGATTGCAGAATGTGAGTGAGAATAGTGTGGAAGTAAAAGCATGTCATAATTGTTATTGAAGTCAAACAGAAAATGAAGCTGTCAGTTGTGTAATATACATTTATATGTATGTTCTTTCATAACTATAGATGGGAAAACTTGAGCAATTTGAACTACAATATTTTAGTGCTAAACTTAGCGTTCTAGCGAGCCAATGCTAACAGTTTTGTACCATCTTTCTGAAGGCAGCTCAGCAGCAGTTAAATATAATGTTTCCAAAAATTATATTTTTTTATGTAAAGCCATCAAAGCCTTATGGTGCAAATGAAAGAACTTTTAAAGTAAACTTACACTATTTAAAGAAAACTGTTAGAGCTACTTGAAAAATTGATCAACTTTCCTAGTATTCCTGATTCAGCATAGCGTACAAGCTTGCTAGGAAACATGCATTTGTGTTTGCAGATTTCAGTGCTCATTTAAGTGTCTCGCCAAATCAGGACCTCAGAGGCTAGGCGCGATGGCTACCACTTCATTGGCTGTCATATTTACTTTACATTTATAAAAATATCCAGCACCATAGGCTTTTTGGTAGAGGTAGCCCACAGCAGATCGCTGACTTGACTTCTTAGCTGTCCAGGACCCAGCTCTAGCCTTACCAGTTCTGTCTGATTTGAGAATGGCTGCTCTTCATCAGGACATCTTCCTCTCACTGTGGGCTTTCCACCATCAAATCCCTTGACAAGTTCTCCACTGATGGAAGTCAGCCCAAATTCTCTAGAAAACTTGAGGCATTACATGTATGTGTATTACATTCCGGGCTGACCAGAGAAATAGCCCAGTACAGCTTTGGGACTAGGAGCCCCTTTCCTAATCCTTTTCCCATTATATGCATGTTGAACATTTGTAATATTGCCATCTCAATTTCTCTATGTGCAAAAAAAGAAGAATGAAACTTGCCAACCCCGCAGAAGGATGTGGCTTCTGAAGTGTTCTTAAATGTTCTGAAGACAAAAACTGCGTTATCGAGTTAACTTTATTGTCGGAGCAATCCAAGGCAACCAGGAGCTCACAAATTGCTATGGGCTTGGCAGTGAGAGTTCTCAGCTGTACAGCTTTCCTGTTGCTCATAACAGCATCAGCATCGACCAGCAGCACACTGTGTGAAGGCTGGGTTTCTGAAGAGGTGTTTTGTTTTCCGGCTTCTCCTGCCACTGTAGGAGATAAGTGAGTTGTCATCAGTGAGAAGTGGAACATCTCAGAAGGCCTCCTGGTCCAATGCCTGCTTGTCTAGAAATGTAGATACAAAGACTGAATCCCTCCACAGTTAGGTTGTTACTACTTTTTTCTGAAACTTAATTCTTCGCACATACTTTTTGGGACGTTTTTGTTTTGCCATATAGTACTGGGTAATATCTCTAGTTTGAATTAATTGAATTCTATCTGACAAATGTTAAAAATAGCATTTTTAAGAAAAGACACCATCAAACAACATTCATTCTGAAACCAAATAACATACACAATCAACAAAAATCAGCACAGATAGTACTTCTTGCTTATGTTCCTCTCAGCCTGTCGGTGTGCTAGGCCCTTCAGCTGTGTTTTCTGCTGTTTGGCTCTTTGCTTCATTAGAGTCAATCAGATGTCTAGATCACGTGTACATAAGGCTCCATATATTAATCTAAAAATGTTAGAATTTAAAGTGCAAGACTAAGATACCTTTTTTTTTTTTTCCCCTAAACTGGAGGGCATACTGTCTGCTTGCAATAAAAGAACAGATGTCAATACTGCAACAAAGCCAGGCTCTAAATTTGAGAAGCGAAAGCTTATTTGGTTAGTTGCCTTTATATACAAAGTTGAATAACTTAGTAAAAAAGGAAGTGTTTCTAGGAAGGAGATTTTTTCCATTTTGGCTACAACATCATGCTGCCTCAGCAGGGTGCACGCATCACTTAAAAATTAAGCCGATTTTCATTCTTGATTGAAAATGCACAGAACACCTAACAAGATGCCAGGTTCCTATCTTAACAGACTGATGAAATGTGGTAATGGTTTTCTGTGTTGGAAATCACGTTTTTAGTCAGATGACAGACAGCAATAAACGACAGTTTAAATTATTTTAATGAAATTCTGAAATATGGAAGAGCAGACAAAAATGTCCAATGGGTTCACATAACAAAAATTGAGGACAAGTTTGTTTCTGTACAGGTTCTTTTGTCTTCTCGGTTTTGCATAAAATACATCAGGCAGGACGTCCGAACTTAAAGTGTAATGATCATAAAAATCACCATGGTAGCTGGGGTTCTGAGGGTGGGGAGCCATGCGTCAATTTAAAATTATTGTTATTGAGATCTTTTCTGTCAGTTAAAATTTACCAGACACTCCAACAACTGAAGTGTAGGAAGGTAAGATAAATAATAATTAGCAGCCTTTCTCTGTAGACGCACCATCTGTGCCATGCCAGCAATCACAGCCCGTTAGGAAGAGCAGTTCGTTTAGCTGCTTTGCGCTCGCTGCAGCATTGGCACTGTTTGATAATGAATGCACCCCCTTTGTTTAGCAATCATGACTCATTGTTATCGGTAATTCAGCGATCACGGTGGTTTTAGCCCTGCTAATTCATGTTGCAGCTGCATTTCTAGATTATGGGGAGACCATCTTTCTCAAATACAAACTACCACTCTCAACCCTTTCCACTTTCTTGGGTAGGGTAGATTATCATCCATAAGGGAACTTGCGTAAAAGGAATTTTCAAGCAGTAAAGACAACGGGCGTGTAAATTAATTCATGTAAGAAAAAAAGCCCTGTTTCTAAAATGTTCCTGAGTTTGCTTATATACCTGCTAATCGTTTTTCTTGTGATTGCTGCGAACTGTCATCCACCCAACCAATTACAACCTACACAAAGGGGCAAGTGCATCAGAGATTATTACTGGAGCAGTAGTGATTTAAATTATTCTTCCTGTTAAAGAGTCAGCAATTGCACCGCGCTGCCCAGGGCTTTTTAGCTTCTCTCTATTTTGAAGAGGTAAAACTAAGCGCTTTACCACTTACATCTCTTAAAAACACCAAAGAGAACAACCTGGTGATACCCCCAGCAAATGACCAAAGTCCCCTGTGGATAATTTAACTCATTTTGCATTACCTTTGATGGAAAGCCTGAACTATCCAAAAGTTGTGTTGGCCAAAAGGTTCATACAGTCCTGCAGATGTTCAGTTCCACCCTGGAGAAAGCTTAATTTCAGAAGCAAATGAATGATCTTAATATACTTCTATGTAAATAGTTATAAAATGAACGTAAATTTCCAGGAATTAAATTAAAACTGGTAGAGTTGCTCAAGGTACGTGCCAATAGTAGTGGATGGTGAAATATATCAGGCTATAAAAGGTTTGGGCTAAATCCAGCTCTAGTCTAAAAAATGGCTCTTGCGTCAGCTCTGGTCCTAAAGCCCTGCGCTCACAAAGCATGCAGGTAGGTGCTTGACTGGAAGAGCCGTTCTTGTCTGTAAAATTAAGAATGTGTTTTAGTGCTTCACTTTTCACAGCCTGCTATTTGTCTATTGTTATGAAGTAAAAAGCAGTAAATAAATGGAAGTGATTGAATTTTTCTTGTTGCTAGTCCTTAGAACTTTTTTTTTTTTTAATTTCTACGTAACGAACTGCTTGTTGCATTAGTGAACAGATGAGTCTTAGGGAATAAGTTATATAGATTCAGAAAATCACCTTGTATTTGACCACAGTCGCTCTTCTTTCCTTCCGCTTTCAGCTGCTCATTGGTTGGCAAGACATAGCTCCTTGTGATAACGACATTTCCCAGGCTAAAAATTAACCTTGTAGGAAAACAGTTGGTCCGTTATCTGGAGTGCCTCTTTTGGAGGCCAAGTGTACATGTAAAAAAGCCATTTCAAAGAGTGCATTAGATTCTAGACACTGCTTCTGTTCACAGCTGAAGCTCTGAATATTAATTCCCTGACCTGAAAATCAGCCCTTGATGTTTTGGAGGAGAAAAACATCTCTTTATTTTTCACTGAAACCTTAAGAAACTGCAAGGTGGGTGACATCAGCAGCAGTGCCGGTGCTGCCAGGCGCTGCGCCTCCTGCTTCGGGGCCCTCGCCTGAACCTTGTCCATGGCCCCATCCTCCTGCAGCACGAGCTCCAGCGCCTCAGGCCAGCGGAGCTTTTGCAGGGCAACGGCAGCAATCCTGATACCAAGAGCTCTTTGCAGTCAGTGTCTTTATCTCATTCCTTACAACCTCCAGTCATGGGATTTCTCTCCCCCCCCCCCTTTCATATTTACTGCATAATATTAAGGCATGTATTGATTTTTGGCTGTCCAAATGTAATCAGAAGGTTTACTGAGCCCATCCCTGACTTGGAGAATAAAGCAGGAGGTGCCGTTCTGTGCACTGGAGAATGGCAGGCCCTTTTGGAATCAGTGGATAAACTACAGGGAACAGGCAGAAGCCAATGCGAAGCAAGTTGAAAACTGTTATTGTATATGTAAATTACTATTGTTCTTTTCCTTTTACTTTTATATCCTGTTTTGATTTTTTCCAAGCTATTTATTTGTTTTTAACCTCATCGTATCAGTGGTGTTAGGTGATATATATTCTTTTAGATATTCTAAAATCCCAGAAAATTTCATAAAGAGCTGATATGACAGATTGCGATTTTTATCCTGTGAATAAAATGTCCAGAAAGAAATCAAACGTTCTTTTGTTAGCATTTAATACTTATTAATACAGTGGAAATTGCACTCTCAGAATTTTTTCACTGGTAATATTTTAGAAAACTGAGATTATGAGCTGAGTCTCCATCTTTTACAGGGACCTCCCGGAGCAACTGGTGCTGAAGGCAGACAGGGTGAAAAAGGTGCAAAGGTAATACGTTCAGGATTGGTTTTTCAGGAGCATGGAAATGTAAACTCCATGTAAATGAAAAGTAAATCGTTTATCGTGCACTGTGTGAAACTAATCAAAGTAATAATGGGTGAACTGTAAAATGCAAATTAAGAGCCAGAATTAGTAGCAGTACGTAATGGAGTCTGTGGTGGACTCTGGCCAGTGCAGCCCCAACTTGGCTCACCCCTGCGGGAAAGCCAGATGAGCGTGCTTTGCTGGCACCACATCTTGATATAAAGCTATCAAAATTTTGTTCCGAAAACCATCCTGTGCAGAGCACTCTTTTAGAATAGCTTTTCAAAGATGGCGTGAGGAAGCTTTGCTCTCCCTTTGCAGGTTGTGCATCCCTGCAGGGCCAACCGGAGGCAGGTCCTCCCCTCTGACCTGCTGCTTGCGTTCTTTCTAGGGTGAACCTGGTGCAGAAGGGGCTCCTGGAAAAACAGGTCCCGTTGGTCCACAGGGACCTGCAGGAAAGCCTGGCCCAGAGGGTCTCCGGGGCATTCCAGGCCCTGTGGTAAGTCAGCGGAGCGTACAATAATATTTTTAAATGTTGCATTTCTCGTATATCCTCTGATAAAGCAAACTTCATGGTTTTTTTTTCTAGGGAGAACAAGGTCTACCTGGAGCGCCGGGTCAGGACGGCCCTCCTGGGCCTCTGGTGAGTACCCTTCCTTTCAGTGCCAAAACAGAAAAAGCTCCCTTGAAAATATACCACCACCGTGTCTGTGCATTTATAGAAAAATGAATCTACGAGTCAGTTCTTAGCACGAAATCACTATTTTTCTGTGCTGGTAAAATCTGATACACGACTGCCTTCATTTTACTGCTTTACTTTAGCAGGCAGCTGTGCTGAACGCTGCTGAGTTATACCAGGTAAAAAGTGGAATAAGGCAGTGTAAATCCCAGTTTTTGAAATCCCCTGAATAGAATTAAAAATAAAATGAAGGAAGCTTACAATCAAAAAATCTACTTCCGTCCCCACATCAGCAAAGCTTAATAGCTTAAACAGTTTTGTTTCCTTAGCAGTGGTAAATTTTGTACATCCGTTGATTTTAATGGCTGCTAGCTTAGGAGAACTTTATTCATAGGGTAAGTTTAGATCATATCTATTCCTTAGAGAAAGCAAAAGTTAAATCAGAAGTAGGGCCAAAAGGGGACTTCTGCCAAAGAAGAAAACATGCTCGTTTTATAAAAATGAACAGCAGCATCATGTCTGTTGTTCGTTGTGGCAGTCCCAGGAGGTGTAATCCATGACCAAAGTGTTTCAAAGGGTCTGCATGAACCAAGCTCCCCATTTCTAGGGCATCTAGGGCATACCACGGCTCTGCTCTGTGTTAATAATATGATTAAAGCAAGGGAATCTTATAGATGACACATTATCAAATTATATCATTGCTTCTATTTACACTTGCTATTTTAGTGCATTTGTTCTAACAAGCTAAAAAAAACCCAACACTGTGAGCACAAGTTGCGCGATATTGGTGTTCTTATTCAGCATTACGTGCAGAAATTCAAATCGGAACTGTATGGCCAGCAGGTTAATTCTTCGGGTGTCAAGCAGAGGTGATCCAAGTTAGTGGAAAGTTCTCATATCCCTTGCTCTCCAAACTCACTGCAGTAGCGTGCACCTCTCTCATCACAGCTGAGTGACACACTGGGAAGAAAAAGCTTCGAAGCAAAACATGGACTGTTAAAGTTTGGTGGAAAAAATAAACAAGTGTTAACACTATGAAGGCACTTTACAGCTTGCAGGCAGTGTTATCACCTCCTAAGTAAAATCCAGTCTGTTAATTTGGCCGGAAGATTAACTATGCCAATATATGCAACGAGATTAGTGCAGGAGAACAGGGCAATCAAGAGCCATCCTCTGCTTCAGAAATGATGTGGTTCTTGAAGGGGAAAAGGAAGGCCCTGAGTAGGAAGTGTGAAGGAAATCCTCTGTTTGTTTTCCTATATGGATTTAGAGGATACAAAGGATACAGGTTCTTGGGTAGCCTTAATACAGAAAGTTTTTGCGCTTAAGCTATATATGTGAACTGAAAATCTTTCCAAAGAGCATTCCGGTTCCCAGTGAGAACTCAGGGTCTGAACATCAGCTATAAAATTTCCGTATCAGACTTTCCCAGTATATAAAAATGAAAGTGGAAAAATGGGGAATTTAAACTGAAATGCTGCATAAATTAAGACTTTTATCCTAAAGCAATCCTTCACGTTCATGTGCATATGTGATCATGAGCAATTGCCTTTTCTTTCATTGACTGAAACACTTTCATGGGTGAAAGTATTTGGGTAACTATTTACATTCCCGAAAAATGTTCCAAACACGCAACTTCTTAACTTATAAGCAAAGAGTTTCAGAACATATATTTTTATGCCACACACTTCCCCCCCTCCCCATGCACAGTGATCTGGTGCATAGGTCTATCTATCAATCACTTCTGTGTATATAATTACAGATGGTATTACAATGGCACCTACATATAATTTCATTTTTCTCTGTCCCTTAGAAAACAATAATGAGCAAATAATGTGCTGGGGAAACCTGACACTATAGCTCTTTGTTGCCCTTCCTGTTAGCACTCTAATTTTGTCTGAAGTCTCATGGCTAACATACTGCTTGTAAGTCAGAGGGTGGGAACGATGAATGAGAAGCTGCAAGGAAAAGGACTCCCCGGTGCTAAGCCCACAATAAAAACCTCTGCTTTCCAAAGAGCTTATGATGGGACCACCACCACAGTTTTTAAACTATGTGCCCAACTTACAAATAAAATGCACGGGGGACAAATCGGGGAACCGAAAACTGATCCCCTCAGTTACAATTCTGTGCTAAAATCTAAAAGCCAATGAACAATTATTCGGCAAGAATAAGCATCCCTTTCCCACATTTCAGTCACCAGAAGCCTCTAAATACATCATCAAGAGATCTCTCTTCCAACATTTGAGAGCTTAAATATTCAGTTCAAATCTGAAGCTGAGTGTATTAATGAACTATATACCTCCAAATGCACAGGCTGCCTGTCAGCTCAACCAGAACTTTTTTTAGATGCATTGCTGCGACTTAAAATTTATTTTGGATTTTAAGAAAGTAAAGTTTGTATGTAAAGTTGCTGAGGTTAGGTCTCTGTCCTTCCCCTCCCTCCCTCCTCAGCTATCAGGAGAAGAATATGAAAGCAGATTTGCAATAGAGCACAACACACTGCAGGTGAAAATGTCTGATTCTGTATTCCAAAAGCTTAAAAATTTCACTTTTCATTCATGAATTATGTATTTCCGAGGCTTTTGCATCTAATGATATCCTGAAGTAGAGATGGAAAGGGTACGCACAGAATAATATTTTGTACATGAAGTGTTATGGCACTTTTGAATCTGTGCCAGGTTGAAAAGGTCACTTATTACTGCTGCCCGTATCATAACTTCACAGATGTCCACTGCCAGCGGGAGACTAGTAGTGATGAGATACTGACTTAGGCTAGCAGCTCTCCGCCTAATGCATACATGTTCAGTGTGAGATAAATAGCCTCTGAGAAATGAATGCCTTTTCTGTGCTTGCAGATGCACTGCATGGCCTGAATTTTTCACCTCGTTCTGTACAAATGACACAAAACCCGCACTGCCGTTCTTATGAACCTCAGAAGGTTTCTCAAATGCCTCAAAACTCTTCTAAAATTATAGATCAGGATTAAAATAATTTAGAAAGCACGGAGAAAAAAGCAAACCAGGGAGATTCTAACAAGCTTCATATATAATCTTTTTCTGTGCCATCTATCCAGCTATATTTTTGACTATTGGTAAAATAGTATCTTCAATGGACTGCTCTTATGACCCCAGTAAAGACAAACAAAGCACTGTCAAGGAAAAGAAGCTTGTCTCAAGCTGTAACAAGATTATTCAGTGGTTTTTGCAAAGGATGTGCAGAAAGTAAGACCTATCCATGTGGATGTGTTTATCCTTCGCAGTAGTTTCCCCAGTATAGAATCATAGAATCGTTTGGGTTGGAAAAGCCCTTTAAGATCACCCAGTCCAACCATTAACCTACACTACCAAGTCCACCACTAAACCAGTTCAAGGTAGAGTAGCAATTTCATGTTTCCTGGCTTGGTGGCTGGATTATTTATAACGAAAGTAAAAACTAAAAAAAAAAAAAAAAAAAAGTAAGCAAGACTGCAATAGAGTTTTCCAATAGATTCTCTAAGCGGCAGCTTACATCTGAAAAAAGTGAGTCTTTTGGGTTGTCCCCTCCCCACACCCACCCCAAAAATGTGGAAGGGCCATTCTACAATGGTTCTGTTGAGCCTGTGTTGGTTGTTCATGGCTCTGTCTCCAGCCCCAGCATATTTCTGATTACAGAAATCTAGCTGCATGGAGTAATGTTTAGGGAGAACTGCAAATAAACGTTAGAATAAAGAGTATTTCTTACTCAGTTTCGTAAAGGAACATATGCCTTTACTGTGCTGCAGAAAGGATGGCTTGTACATACAAATTAAAAACTGTAAGCTGCTTAAATGATGTGAACCATGTAAGTACCTAAAAAGGTGTCGGGTTAACACCTCTGTAAGGTAGGGGTATTATCCCTATGCAACAGATGAGGAGTGGAGGCCCGAAGAGACTAAGGCAGTTCCTAAAAGCATTTAGGATTGCCCGGACTGGTATTGCAAAACCTAAGTAATTTGTCTAACTAATCACATTTACAAAAGTGACAAAGGACCATAAGCTTGTACATGTCAGCGGAGGTAGCACATCTAGATCACATTAAGTAAGCTTGCAATGTTGAGTAGAAAAGACTTGAATATTTGGAAAATATAGATTTAAATGCATTATTCATGGTCATACAGGAATTTCAGGTGGCAAGTCAAGGAAACCATAATCCCAAGACAACACCCCAAGTGCTGAAACAAAATACGAGGTAGTTCCCCAACAAAACAATGTTGAGGAGCAGTTTTTATAAGCCACCTGATTTATATTCTGCAAAAATCTTACTGAGCTGTAGTAAACTGGGAGAAAACAAATTAAGCGGATATTTTCTGCTGTCTTATGAAAGAAAGGGCTAAAACAAACAACTAGAATAAGGTACAGCAATTAAGGTGGAAGTAATAATTGAAAGCATGTAATGTAACCACAAGCAAAATTAGGCTAATCAACAAAAAATTATTTGAATATATTTTTAAATATCACTTGCTTCACTGGATGCTTTCAGTGCTCTTTAAGAATTTAGTTGACCCTCTGCTTCATAGATTTCTAATCATACAATGCTTTACAGATGTCTAATTATAAAGTAATTTAAATGCTACAGTAGCTCATTATGCAGTTTTAAACATAGATTTCAACTTTATCTTGGGCCCTAAATCACATGCCATCAATCACAACCATCAACCTCTGAATGACTCTGCACTTCGACTTACACTGCCTTTAATAATATTTCAAGAGAGCATGATCTGTGCAGTATGTTAAAACTTATTTTAACATTACTTCCCTTGATTTATTTAGGGTCCACCTGGCTTGCCTGGCCTGAAAGGAGACCCAGGCTCCAAAGGAGAGAAGGTATACTTTACTCATCGCTTGTGCCTTTGTAATCTCGATCCAGTCTAAAAGTCTGTATAAAATTAGCAAAAAGAAGCACTGGGGGTTTTGTATCGGAAAGCGAGACAACTTACCATGTCTACCAATCAGCTTCCCATGGCCTTAATAGTAATCATGAAGCTTTAAGCCACTTCTGATATCCTGGAGGTATGTGGAAAGAAAAAGATTACTGCCCGTGTGGTAACCTGTTGACCATGTGATTCTTCCTTGCAAAATCCCAAAGATGTAGATGTAACGAGAACTGTTCATTTTACAAAACCAAAGTAAGTAGAAATACAAAGTATTTGAGATTTAAGAGCTACAACACTTTCTTTTGAAATAATGGATTGAGACACCCGGGATAGCATTTTCTAATGGAATCCCAACAATTTATTGCTTGTGTATCAGAGAAAAATTGTCTAGAGAAAGGGATGTGAATATGATTATATCTTGTGAATTTCAGCTTTTGGTTATGTGCTTGGATCAGCTGTTTATACGTATATTATTATATATAGGTATGCATACATATATATACACACACACAACATATCATATAATATTATATATTACATGTGGGGAAAAATGTGCAACTCTAAAACATGCTGATAGCGTCTAAATGTGAAAGTCGGTATGAAATTCGTACCCACAGGTACTGTTTCTGTATCAGTTTCATTAAGGACTATGTTGCTCTTAGATCTCTCTCACCGAATAAGCGGTGACAGCTTGCAAATAATCTGCAAGTCTAAAGGCCAGCTACCAACAATGAATATGCTTTCAGAATAATTTGTTTTCGGGTTAATTGTTGTCTAGCAACAGCGAGGACATTCCAAAGCTCTAATCTGTGTGTTTGCAAGGCATATTTATTTTATATATGTTGAGTTTTAACTGTATTTTCTTCTCTCTTGCATAGGGACATCCCGGTTTGATTGGCCTGATTGGACCTCCAGGAGAACAGGGTGAAAAGGGTGATAGGGGTCTTCCTGGCCCGCAGGGAACTCCTGGAGCCAAGGGTGATGCAGTGAGTAAAACATACTTGTGATTTCATTCGAGTTCCGTGCAAGCAAAGAGTACACGTTCCAGTCTTTTTTTTGCGAGACGTAAAGTTGCTATAAACATGGAACACCCCTGCTAGTGGTTAGAACTTTCCTAGGTGTTGTACAAACACAGTGAAGTTAAACAGCTTCAAGCGAGATCATAGAGCGTTTCAGATGATGAAGGAAACACATACACCTAAGTTAGGGATGAGATAAAACTAGCAGCGCCAATCTCATCGTGTTTCTTAACTGCACTACCCAAAGTAGCTTCCTTTCTCCTAGTTATTAAGCCACGTTTTAAGGCACTATGTAAAAAGTGAGGTTTCCAAGCCAATCTGAAGGGGAACGCAGTCGTGGCCATAAGCACTGCAGCATAAGAACAACTACAAGCAACTCAAACTGTCGGATAACATTTTAAACTTACAAACTATTTTGGACCCTAGCAAATGGCCTAAATCAAAACTAGTCAGGGTTGGACACTTCGTAGGACTGCCTTTTTCATAGATACGCATTTTTTACTCCAGTCCAGTATGTCAAATGCTTTAGTTCTGTACTTATTCTCTTATTCTTTCTTAGGGAATTTCCGGTCCTGCTGGTCCACTCGGTCCCCCGGGTCCTCCTGGTTTACCTGTAAGTCATTTCATCCAGTCCTCCCGTGCAAAACGCTCCCGTGTTGTGTGGAATATACTCCAACTATAGTTATATGTTCTTGCCCGTAGGGTCCCCAAGGTCCAAAAGGTTCCAAAGGATCCAGCGTGAGTAATTCTCCTCCATATTTTTTTGTTCTTTTACTTAAAAGTATTTTTTAACATTTTGTTATTTTTTAACATCATGTAGCATGGTCAACACTGCATTTCTTTCATTGCTTTATAGGGTCCTGCTGGTCAAAAGGGTGACAGCGGGTTACCTGGTCCACCTGGTCCTCCAGTAAGTAAGAACTCTTACTTGACACACATGCGCATTACACTGACATGATGACCCTGTTTTGACAAGGGTAGAAAACACTATCTGTGAACTTTCAGATAAGGAAAATATTAATGATTGTTTGAAAATTCATTTTTCAGGAAACACAGATACACCAGACACAGAAATACATTGTCTGCACTGAAAAAGCCATTAGAAACTTTAAAAAAAAAAAAAAACCACCACACAAAAACCCCCACAAACAAAAAAAGCCCCTTGTAATAATTATTTAATGTGTTATATTGAAGCACAGGAAGTGGAATGATTTTGGTTTCCCCCTGTTAATACTCTTCTGTTTCCACTATTTCTTCTTCATATCAGAACAATCTAAAATGAAAACAGTCCAAATCCAAGTGTTTCAATTCCTTGAAATTAAATATAGCTTCACAGACCACCAGTGGGAATTTTAAAGTTTTATCAGAGGAAACATCGACAGTTTTCATTTGTCATAGGCTATGCCTGTGCTTGAGGGAATCGCCAGGGATAGAGACAATCGCAAATCAGTTCTGCACCCCTACCGTACATTTCTTCCCCACGCAGCCATGTAGTGGGAAGAGTTTGGAGCACGACAGTGGTCTGGCCTTCCCCCATCAACTTTTCCTTTAAGTAAATCAAAGCATGTAGGCATAAATCTGAAGGAAATAAGTGAAATAAAGAAATAAAGAATTTGAAGAAAGCCTATTCAAAGCATCTCTAAGCCGCATCCCGTGGTCTTCCTCCACGTATTTATGCAGCTGAAAAACAAGCAGAAAAGGTCACCAGGTTTGCTGTTTTCCACTCAGGGGCCTCCGGGTGAGGTAATCCAGCCACTGCCAATCCAGTCACCCAAAAAGACAAGGAGATCTCCTGATTACATGTTATCTGATGCCGGTGAGAACATTCTGGATTACTCCGATGGCATGGAAGAGATCTTCGGTTCACTGAATTCACTGAAGCAAGACATTGAGCATATGAAGTATCCGATGGGCACTCAGAACAACCCAGCCCGAACCTGCAAAGACTTGCAGCTCTGCCACCCGGACTTCCCAGACGGTATGTTAATACTGCAGGGCGGAGGCAGACAAGGCTGAAGTTATGGTCTGCTAAGATACTTTGGCAGAGTAATTAATTATTGGTAGATGGTTAATATAGCTGCTCGATAAATGCAGCCTCATTAAATCCATTTTTGCAGGTGTAGCGGTTCGTAAAATGTATAAGAGACGTCATCTTGGTAAAAGCCAAAATTCTTTAAATACATAACCTGATCTGGTCTTAGATTTAAAACTTTACAAAGTGCTATATAAAAAAAAAGTTATTGTCTTGAAAGGTGGGCCTTGCATCTCCGGAACTATCCAAACAGGAGAGGGATGACAGAGTGATGCTATTTAGATCGATGCAAAGTCAAATCCCAAATGTCAGCATGCTGGGATAGCTAATAGCTTCTTTTTAAAAGAAACGAGAATTATTTTAGTAGCTGTATAGTTTAGCTTAGCATAATAATAAAAAAAAGCATTGGTATTGTATGACATCTATTACTGACTGTGACTCTCAAAGAATTTACTGTTCTTTCACCCTTGGAAACAGTCCTTTTTCCTACTGCGTGGCCACTGTTTGTTCTATATCATTCAGCAAATAGACCTGTAAGTTTCTCTGCTACTGCTTAATGCTACTAAGTACTAGCTTAATAAAATGCACGGTGGTATGAACAAGGCACTGTGTTCTGAAGAACTGTCTTGATTTAATTATTCTTTGGTGTTTTTTTTTTTTTTCCTAACTGAGTTTACCCCTCTGGAAAGGTTTAAATGAAAGCCAACCTTCACAGAGTTTTCATCCTTTCATGTTTTTTTTGATTGCAATGGATCTTTTTCCCAGTTCAAAACAATATTTTTCTGGTTTTAAATGGGAGGGAAAATAGATTTTGACAGTTAATAATATTTTATTGCTTTCACTCTAGATAGATGAAAACAGATGCTTGCCTTGAGGAGTAGTTACGCAGTGTATGTGCTATATGAACAGTACATATTTTACAATTCAGTACCTCCATAGTAATGAATGGTTTTTATAGAACACATTCACCTTCTTCATTTACCAGTATTTGCTTATTATTTGGAGGTTTCTTCGTATCAAAGTAATCTTATTTTGCTTAAAATAAAAGTAAATGCATTCATTAAAATACAGAATTCTCCAGGGACAAGACTTACAGGTGGGAAAGACTGTTTTCAATAAATACAGCCAGAATCAATAGAATTTTAAAATACCGCAAGTGCTTTGTCTCTGCCCTGTATTCAGAAGACAGAACTGGTGAAAGGATTTGTCGTGCCTCTGAAACCTCCACTATGTGCTTGAAACTGGACTAGAACAGTAGTGTCAGAAAATCATCTGCTGTCCTGCTGTGAAACTAGCTGGAGCTAAGGCCCCACATCACAGAAATCGTCGTCATATTAGAATGGTGGATTTTAAAAAGCGCTGATTTTTAATGGTCCTCGGCTTGGCTGCAGCTCTCTCTCATCCCCAGCCTCCATTCACCCCAGCTTCGCAGGGCCCGAATTCTCAATCTCGCCAGGCTGGTGGGGCTGCTGAAACGATGGGAAGCCTCGTGCAAGTGTTAACTCTCTTTCCCGCTGTGTCACCTCATCAAGCATTAGTTAAGGTGCTTTTATCAACTAAAGCGGCCGCAAGTTTCGCTAGTGTTGCAGCTTCGTAACCCAGGAGTGAAAAATATCTTTGCCGGAGGTGTCTCTCTCTCGATGGAAGCTTTAGGTACTTGTGCCAGTACAACCTCTGCAAGCCCTGTGCCACCACCTTTTTGTGTAGATAGGTATGCAAATGACTCCGTTTTTCGCTCTCTGACCTCAGCCATGGCTTGTTTCTGCCTAAGGCTGCCGCTGCTCTCTTTCTGAGAGTGCTGTCACCACAGGCACAAATCAGCCTCCTAGCTGAAACAGTGAAATGGCCGAATCTTTGAGACCTGCAAGGTATGTTTCACACGGAACGTCCTTCCTCCTCTAGACTGAGGTCTCCGCAGTTCCTCCAAAACCTCAGCAGCATCCTGCAATAGAGTTGTGGTTTGAAGTCAAATTAGACAAACACAAAACCACGCAGATAAAAATAGACTTTGATCCCGGTGTTTTCTTTCATAAAGAACAAGAACAACAAATCACAAGGCAGAAAAGAAAGACTTGTTTTCTCATCGTTCAGATAAAATAACTGCTACAAACTTTGGAGGACCATTAGGTAGGACTAAAACCTGGATCTTCCAAATACCATTTCTACTATATAAGGCAATTGTTTTCTGATTTGTTTTAGGGGAATATTGGATTGATCCTAACCAGGGCTGTTCTGGAGACTCCTTCAAAGTATATTGCAATTTCACAGCAGGTGGGGAAACTTGCATCTACCCAGATAAGAAATCTGAAGGAGTAAGTACCAATCTGTGTTTTCAGTTGGCTGTAGACAGATCCTGCTATGCTGCTGCAATGTTGAACTAAACAAGATAATTACACTGTCACATTTTCATATATCCGTCTGTCTGATTACATTGAAATTTGCATAAATCTGAATGGAGTGGCGAAATGGTACATGGAGTTAACAATCAGCATTTTCACTCACTTGCTTAGGTGGGGAATCTATGCACCTGCTTGCTAACCTGTCGCTGCACGCAGAATGCCCCGTTGCGGTGCAGCCAGTTAAAGCGTGTAATCTAGCATGTGGCACCTGAAAGCTAAACTCACGCTGCATTTCTCCTGTGGATTCATTTATATCTATTCATTTATACCTATGCAAAGTAGATGTAAAGCACTCTGTATTAACAGTGCCCTCACTCGTTAGACATTACCTCTGATGGGGCGTATGTAGAGGAAGGCTTTCTAAAAGCTTGCCTAAATGAGAGAGATCTATCAGCATCAACACCAGTGAAAACTCTAATTTAGACACTTCACAGGAACAATTTATACCAGCAGTTTACCTGAATCTTAACAGAGGACAACAGTCTCCCTTAAACAGAACTATCTCTCTCTCTAAGCCATCACCTTGGATTCCATTCAAAGTCACTAATTTGAAGGCATTCTATACAAGAAAAGCATCGTATTTTAGAGCTGTAAAGAGGCTGAAATCTCAGAAAGAAGAACCCTTCTTTAGTATCTGCCGTGAAATTTGTCCCAGTTAATGTAAAACCTTCGTATCTGTTAACGTATGTTTTAAATACTTCTATCTCTGCTGCTTTACCTCACAGGTTAGAATTTCATCATGGCCAAAGGAGAATCCAGGATCTTGGTTTAGTGAATTCAAGCGAGGCAAACTTGTAAGTTGTCACTGCAACATAACAGTTATTCACAAAGCAAGTACACGTTATCAGTGATCAACAGATCCCAAGGAATTTTATAAATATTTACGTAACGAAAAGACTTTTCAGCCCCCCTTTTTGCCCTAAATATTAGAGCAGCTGTACGGCCTCTTGCCACTGGACGGCAGGAGCCTGCTCCGCGTTGTCCCGCAATGATCCCAGTGCTCGCCTGCACAGCTGATGGCCAGGATCTGGCTTCTGGCAGAGCGCACGGCACCGCTGAACCTCAGTGACGCAGCCGGAGCACAGATCCCCTGCCCCGTTCTAGGCACCTGGAAATACACTGAGTATGCGAAGATGAGACTGCAGGCTGACGTAACTTTATAGTTAACTAAAAAGAGATTCCCAAAGAGATTCTGCTGGTTTACGCTGTATGGTAGGAGTAATTCCCTGTCTTTCCCATTAGAATGAAACTAAAATATGTAGCTCTTCATCCTAAATACGTTGCCACAACATGAAAATCTCTTTACTCAGTCCTAGCTTTATTGAACTTTAAAATTCCATAAAATGTTGTATGTTGGTTGATTTTTTCATTAAGGACAGTTATATGGTTCTTTTGTCAACAATAATTTTGTTTTGCATTTTAACAAAGGAAATAGGTCGATATTCATGTAACTTCTTCTATTTTCCAGCTTTCCTATTTGGATGTTGAAGGCAATTCCATTAATATGGTCCAAATGACATTCCTTAAACTATTGAGTGCCTCTGCCAGACAAAATTTCACTTACAACTGTCATCAGTCCGTAGCTTGGCATGATGCGTCATCTGACAGCTATGACAAAGCGCTAAGGTTCTTAGGATCGAATGATGAAGAAATGTCTTACGACAACAATCCTTACATCAAAGCTCTTCACGACGGCTGTGCAGTAAGTAGAGGTTCAGAAGAGTCTTTACAAAACCAGCCTGTCAATTAAAGTAGGAATCAAACAAATTCATTTTCTCACAGCTTTCTTCTGAGAAAAGCTTTCTAAAGACTTTATTTTTAATAGACTGCCCTTTAGTAGATTTTTAACTACAGTACCCTAGTCCCTTATTTAATTTTCATATGTGTACCAAAAAAAAAAAAAAAACCAACCAAACATAAGCGAAGCATCAGAAATGGAAGAAACCTGGATACAGGCTGTCAGCACTAATGTGCTGAAACTAGACTATCTGCTAGTATGAGCACAGAATAAGAAAGAACAGAAGCAAAAAAGCATAATAAAGGGAGGCCACCCTTCGGCAGAATATATTTATACTCAAAATCAAGGCATACGCAAACAGAATATTAGAATATTTAGTGAATACAGTAAAAACATGTATGAACTGAGCCATATGTATGTACCCAAACATAGTGAATTAATTAAGTGTTCAAAAAACGGGCAGAGGTGGCACTTGGGGACATGGTTCAGTCTGGTCTACCCTTGATTGGTTTAGTGTGGACTTGGTAGTGTAGCTTAATGGTTGGGCTGGATGATCTTAAAGGGCTTTTCCAACCTAAACGATTCGATGATTCTGTGAATTACATAGTTTGATATGTGACTTTGTATTTCCTTCTCTCATTTTTTGGTAGTCAAAGCCAGGCAAAGTTTGCGGTTTCAGAATCCTCTCTTAGCTGGCCTAAAATCCCTGGAGCCGTCCAACCGTGCGTCAGCTCTCTGACCTGGGTCTTTGTAGGCATAGCAACTGTGACCTCTTCTCAGAAACAGAGTGGTTTGTACTGAACGCTTTGAAACAAAGACATCAAAGGAGCAAGTGACAGTTGCAGCCTCATTAGTTATTTTGGGGTTTGATATAGGAGCATTTTGAAGGCAGTTCCTAAGAAGTCAGCGATAGAGAATCAGAGATCTGAAAGTGCCAGGATACGTACCTGAGACGCAGCTCAGGTAGAGGGCCACCAAAATGATCCAAGGGCTGGAGCCCCTCTGCTACGAGGCCAGGCTGGGAGATTTGGGATTGTTCAGCCTGGAGAAGAGAAGGCTGTGAGCAGACCTTGTTGCGACCTTCCAGTACTTAAAGGTGGCCTACAGGAAGGATGGGGAGAATCTTTTTAATGAGGCCTGTTGTGACAGGACAAGGAATAACAGATTTAAACTAAAGAAGAATAGATATAGACTAGATATTAGAAAGAAGTTTTTTACAACGAGGGTGGTGAAGCACTGGAAGGGGTTGCCCAGAGAGGCGGTGGAGGCCCCATCCCTGGCACCATCCCAGGCCAGGCTGGACGGGGCTCTGAGCACCCTGGGCTGGTTAAAGCTGTCCCTGTCACTGCAGGGGCTGGGCTGGGTGGGCTCTAAGGGTCCCTTCCACCCAAAGCATTCCATGATTCTATAGATGCAGAGTCTCCTCCCCTCAGTAATGAGATTCTAACACGTAACTGCTTTCCGTGTGTCTTGTATCTTTATTTTGCTTTTGTTATCCACAGTGGGTGAGTGTAGAGCTCCAGAGAGAGCTGGAAGCGATTTAGGGTGTAACTCCGTCACTAAACTGAGAACACTCAGATCTACCAACTTGGATGCTCCTCTGAACTCCAAGACCCTGGCCTAGCTGAAAGGGGTCTCGGCAGATATCAGAGACCATCTGAACAAAGTGCAGTCCTGATAACTAACGGCATGACTTGGCTGGATGATATTCAGGGGAGGTAGAGAGCCTTTGTAGGAAGGAAGGGTGTGCCTCCAAACCTGGTTTCTCAGTGCATCAGTTGGCAGCCCTGTCACACTACTGCTTTCCTTCATGTCCAAACAGCTGCTGTAATACTTTGTGAGACAGCTACAGGCTCGCTTCTGAGAAGGGCATCTTCCTTCTGTCTTTCAGAACTAATTAGCGATTTCTTCGCAAGGAAGACATGCACGCTGCTATGAGAATATTATTATTTATTAAATAGCATAGGTGTGAACTCGGAATGCTCTAGGAAACGTTAAATGTCTTAGATAATTTTTCATTTGTAGGCCTGTCTTAGTAAATCAAAAAGCTATGGGCCCATCTCTTTCTACAATCAAAACCATTCCATATTACGTTTTTAAAATAAAATCCTAAGAAAACATAAACTTTAGAGTTCATAATATCTGGCACATGAGGGGGCAATAATTTATAAATTCTACACTTCAGAGATAACCGATGAAGATCTACAGCACATGCTTACTGCTCCGATATATAACCATGTTTGCCTTGTTTTGCTTCTTTTTTAACAGTCAAGAAAGGGCTATGCGAAGACGGTGATCGAAATCAACACACCCAAAATAGACCAAGTGCCTATAGTTGACGTGATGATCAATGACTTTGGTGATCAGAACCAGAAGTTTGGATTTGAGGTCGGTCCTGTCTGCTTCCTTGGTTAAGCTTAAGACAAAAATCAGATCAACAAAAATGTTGCACTTTGGTGCTACCAACCCACTTCATGCCACATGCAAGTTTTGAATAAGGATGGCATAGAAAATGTGTCTCGCTGGGTATGTATGTCTTATCTAGAAAGTAATTGTTGCCCTTGTAGGGCCAGAATCACATGACTTAAACTTATTTTGCAAAGATGCTGTGGCACAGACAGACAACATAGGGCTCGCTTTAGGAACACCCCCTTTGGATTCCTTTGGTGCTGTAAAAACACGAACGACATGGTGCTCCTTCCACTACAACAAAGAGATGTTAAGTGTTTAATAAACTGTAATTATTCTATGTACAGTACTATACTGTTATTTCTCTGTCCCTTTCCAAAACTTGCATGTGTCTCTGAATTGCACCTGGCCCTTATTTTATAATTACAAAACTACAGTGTCAATACTGTGTATGTAGTCTGAAAAAATAAAGCTGTAATTGCCAGTGAAGCCAATTCCATTTCTGATTAATAATAAAATCCCTTTGTATATATTGTTGTCGAAGAGCTGTGTTATTTGAAGTCGCCAACAAAACTTAAGGTGGCAAAACTGGAAGATCTTGAGCAGCCCACTCAACTCTTTTCTGCTGATACTGCTCTGTGATGATGAATTTCAGTAACGAAAGCACCTTCAAAGGTGCTGTGTTCCATGGTGCTATACCTCAGACTTTTTATTTTCTTCTCTAATTCCAGAATTTCATAAGATACATGTATATACCTAAAATAAACAAGTTTATATTTTTCGGTGGGGAAAATATATAAGAAAAGAAGGACACAACTTCTGTGTAAGAGATCCGTTAAAAATCTGTGTGAAATAAATTAGTCATATAGCTTTCCTTTTTTCTTTTAATCTCATCTGAATTTGTTTCCATTGTGCTTATTTGGTCTGCATAAATATTAAAACTGGATTCTAAGCAGTTATTTATGGATTTTTGCAGTGTTCACGTAGATTTTTATGTAAGCAAAGGTGGATGTTTGCTTCCTGAACTGGATACTCTAAGTTCCAGAGAATGTTCCTATACAATATTTGCCCACCCCGTGAACGTGAACCATTTTTCCTGTTATTTCACCTGAAGGCCAGGGATGCAATATGTCTAGGTCATGTGATTCTACGTGGTTGCTAAGCAACGTACGAGGGGCCTGCTTCCTCCTGAGCTGTCTTTGACCCAAACCGTTCCAATTTTATTGAAATCTCACCCCCGAAAAGTTGGTTTGGCCTTCCCTCTGAACATTTTATTCAGGTAGTTGGAAGTAGAAGTTACATTTTAGCTTTACAACACAAATCCTTTTGTAATTATTTTTCATAATATATGTAAGACTTGAAAAGAAATGTTTGTTTCTATTTCTTATAAAGTGTTAAATTAAATAGTACTAGTTTCTGCTGGCTCATTTCCAACTGGTATTTTCTTATGCACGTTTATACATGTAAAAGTGAGATTTCAAAAGTCAACCTCTTGCTGTTCATATTTTCTTTTATTTTTGAACCAAAGTTTGTACCTGTCACCTCAAAGAGGAAAATACAAATTTTATTAATAAAATCAAGTCTTGTCTACCTGGATTGGTCATTCTCTTTTTTCCATGTCCGGAACTCTCCCACTGGTATTAGTGTAACTTCACTCTGCTTCCAGACCATCCAGACTCAAAAAAAAAAAAGCGATCTTCCTACGTGTGCTGGCAAGCACTGGGCAGCAGCACTGGGAAGAGGAGTGTTAGCAGGAGCGATGCTGAGCTGGCCATCGGCAGTCTGCAGCAAGGCTGATCATTCCACGTTTTGTTCGTGTGGATCCGTAGCGGCAGCAGTCCGCGTGGTACTGTCAGACAAGACAGGAACCCCATATTCTTTCCCCAGCCACTCTCTTACAGCCTACAGCGTCTGAGTGCGTCACTACCTCGTGCTTATCCGTGTCGGAGCCCATGAGGTAGGTGAACGACCCTATTTGTTGATGGCAAACGGAAGACAAGAACTAGACCAAGACCTAGAAACTACTGGGCCACAAAATTTCCAGTGCCTTGTTTGACATAGTGGAACCAGAACGGGTGATGGGTCTGAGCTAGAGACACGACATATCTCACCTGGGGCCTCCTCCAAAACACTTTATGCTTTTTTAATCTCCTAACTGTTCTTTATGAGCTCCAGTTATGTGCACAACAGCTGTGAAAGCAGCTCCAATAAGTTTGGCAGAGGAGCGGCTACTTTCCGCTGCTCGAACGGGCTGGGTTAAGTTAGGTGCTGAGCTGTGCAACCCTGTCTAAAAAAACCCAACACTTCTGGGTCGGGTGCTTTGGGGTGATACAGGTAAAAAAAAAAAAGATGGTTGTGATTTGGCAGAGTCAGGATTAGGCTGCGGGAGAACGGTGTTTCTACGAGTGCAGTGGTGTATGCAAGAAGCCAAATGAACGCGGATCTTTTCCAGAATAAGTCAAAGTGTCTTGCCCAGGGTCGTGGTGACAAAATCCCAAAGGAGAAAATGAACTTGAGTCTTCTACACGTCTCAGGCACGGACTCGTCAGGTTTAGTCTTTAGCCCTTCTTAAGGCCTTAGCCAGGGACGTTACCGTTTATCCCGTCATGAAAGCAACTCACCCCCACTAGTTATTCTAACTCCGTCTAGTCTCCATGTCAGTCTGCTGTTCTTGTTCTCTCAAAATTACTGATTAAAAGGGAAAAATTGCCATTATACATTCTTGCCTTCAAGTAAATATTATGCTATTTATTTTTCCCTTGACAGAAATCTCATATTAGCAGTGCTTTAAAAAAAAAAAAACCCACACAAAACCCCCACCAAACAAAAAGAGCACTCTTGAGAACAGAAAGAAATTTCACATTAAAACTCACGCATCAGTCTTTCTGTGAAATAAACTTCAGATTCGGTAGTCAGATCCTACTAGCCATAGAAACATAAAACCTCAGCAACATCATATGCAGTTATTAAAAAAAAAAAAATAC